TCATCAAAGGGRTCAGGGTCAGCTTTGTGGTACTCCTCTGACTCTTTTTCAACAAGCTCTGAGATTCTGAAAGTTACATTTAAAAACATTTAATCCACTTAAAGCACCCTTTTCTGCTTCTAAATGCTTTACAGCACATCACATAAACTAAAAGCATGTCTACTTACTTGGTGAGGATGTTCACCAGCTCGTCTGTGCTACTTTGTTGCTCCTTCTCCCACTGTTCCAACAGAGTGGTCAGCTCTGCCTTCGAGTCCACAGTGGCAGATGCTGACGCCATGGCGCAGGCTGTAATGACAATGTATACCCAACATATTATTTACAAATTTATTCTTTACAGTTACTCTATGCTGCAATGAGAGATTATATGTAGCATTATCAGCTACTCACTGTTAGCTCTAGGTAAAATCCAGATTTTAAATMAACTTAATTATTCATAAATATTTAATTCAAAAACACATTTTAAGCAAAAAAGGTTTGAGTTACATTGAAAAGTTAAACATTGTACATCATCTTTTTAATGCATGAGATTTTGGTTCAGAAAGGGTGGCCCAACAGAACATTTTTCACCTAAAATGCAACTCTTATTATGGTTCCAGTAGTGATGGGTCTAATGGCTTTGAGAAGGCTCTTTTTGCTTAACTGAGCCAGCTCCCAGAAAAGTCACAAGTCCCATCACTAGGTTCCAACAGCTTCGGAAAGTAAAAGCTGTAGTTGTTGCCATCAGTCCTTTTTCCTATGAAACAGAGAGCTGAAGAATGTGCTTATTGGTCTCAAGGCAGGAAGACCTCCATTTCTGAAATGGAGCGAATAAAATGTCTAATTTTACAACTATATAATTTGGGCCAATAAAAATCATCTCACATCACATTTTTGTCAAACTGCTAGGCACCGAGGAAATTGCAAGAACTTCTGTTACATAATAAACAAGTTTCCTGTTCATGTCAATTGGAGCAATTCACTTTTACATGTTTACTTTTCACCCTCCTTGTAGCTTCTGTTCCTATTCATTCATCTGTGGCCCAGAAACCAAATACTTCCTACCAACAAATAACTGTCTGAGTTCATTATATTTCAACACTTCTCCTTTCCCAATTTCTTTTGGGGGGGTTTTGTTTTCGTCTCCTCTGCTCCCAAGAGCATGATCAACTTCCTGCCTAATATTTAAATGGTTGTCTTGTAAAATTCTGGTACGAAAACAACTTATTTAAAAAAAAATGTGTATTTAGGATTGCTTACAAAAATATAAACACCATCACTGGACCATAGCTTCGAGACGCAGCTGATTGGCTCCAGCGCTGCAGGTGCGAATGTTTATTCTCTAGAGGACACAACTGTCAAAGTTACGCTCAAGTTAGCTTGTTGCCTAAAAATAAAAAAATAAAAAAATGTTCGCATATCTCGTTTTATTCTGCAGTAGCTGCAAGTGGCATTTCAAGCAATTTGCCAGCTTTACACATTTACTTACAGTTTTAGTCTTTACTAAAAGAGCGTGCGGCAGGCAGCAGGAAACTCCGCTCACAGATGTTTTCTGCCTGTTGCGATGTTTGTTTAGCTAAAGTGGCTAAACAAGAAGCTAGCCTCTTATTATGCCGCCGCTAACAGCAAACCTAAGTCGCCACCTTAAAGTTCCGCTTCATTCGTTTGCATTTGTCCGAAGATTTCCAAATATGTACAGCTCATTGCGTAAGATTAAACTCTTTTTTAATAAAAATGCCTGCACATGTAACACATGACTACAGAACTAGCTAGAAACATCACAGGTGAGCGTGGCTAGTTAGCCACAACGCTAACTTTACCTCGTTTTCCCTCTCAGCTCTTGCTTGGTTTTCCCGGGTATGTTGAGATTTCAATCCACCGATATGAGTCCCAACTTGGTTCTGGTTCGCTGACTACCAGTACATCAGTAATAGTTTCACGGAAGCGACTTCATTTGCTTTTTTGTAGCTTTGTGTTCACGGTTTATTATCATTATGGCGAACACGTTCTGCTCGTCAAATCACAAGCGACCGTCAGGTTGATGACGACAAAAGTCTGCGACAAGTCATTTGCTTTTTATGCCAAAAGGAAGCGTTACAAAATGTCTGTCAAACAAGTGTAAAAAATGTAATACCATAACTATTTTCTAAATAGCAAATGGGTTTAATTAAAATACACCACTAGGATCATATAAAATATACTCGTGAAAARTTTTACTTAAAAACTAAAATGAAAGCAAAACAGGCTAACATAAGACTTATATTGTCGTTGTATCTTTATTGTAATGTGCATTTATGTGCCATCATAAAAAAATCAAACTTTATCAAGCAATTCTTTATTGAACTGATTATTAAAAGGCTCCCCTACAACATGATTTCTGTGCAAAATGCCATAAACAGATTTAACAAAAAAGTTATTTAACAAAAGCAGAATAAGGACAACATAAAATAGTAAAAGGAAAAATACACTTAAGTGCAGGCCGTTTTGTAAATAGGGGTTTGCTAAATTTTAATGAATGATTTTTATTTTGGGGGTGTGTGGAATGATTTATTTTAAGACAATCATTTGGGAGATGAAAATACAGGTAAAGATGGACGGATGGGTGGATGGATGGATGGAAAAAAGGCAACTGAATTCATAGTTTTGAAATGTGTCCCCACACCCCAATCTTGATTGATATAAAATTTCAACAACTAAAGATTCTAAAATGTCACATTTTTCATTTCATAATTGGGTAAAATGTCTTCAGCGGGTGGCAGGTCTGGAATGTATGCAGAGTCCTGCTGTTGTAATACATGCAGAATATAGTGTGACATTATCTTGTTTTGCCGGAAAAAAAAAAAAAACACGGCATGCCATGAATATTATGTTATCTGGCTGGTAGCACAGGATGCTTGTCACATGGCATATACAACCCCTGGCAAAAAATTATGGAATCACCAGTCTTGGATRAGCACTCAGACAGACATTTCATTCTGTAAAACAAACTCAGATCAAAAACGTGATACAATAATAAGGTCGTTCCAAAGTGCAACTTGTTGGCTTTTAGAAGCACTCAAAGAAATGAAGAGAAAACATTGTGGTAGTCAGTGAATGTTACTTTTATTGACCAAACACAGGGAAGAAAATATGGAATCACTCAATTCTGAGGAAAARAAAGKAWGGAATCATGAAAAACAGATAAAYAAAAGGACCATTCAAAATACATGACAAGTTTTTAATTGCACCACGTTTGGCTTTAATAAAAGCTCGCAGTCTCTGAGGCATGGACTTGATGAGTGACAAACGATATTCTTCATCAATTTGGTGCCAACTCTCTTTGATAGCAATTACCAGATCAGCTTTGCAGGTCGGAGCCTTCTTGTAGACCTTTTTTTTCAATTTCCACCACAGGTTTTCAATTGGGTTGAGATCTGGATTATTTGCAGGCCATGACATTAACTGAATGTGTCTTTCTCCAAGGAATGCCTTCATAGTTTTGGCCTTTGCCATGGTGCATTGTC